CATGTTCCTCAGTGTAGCTGAAACCTAAGGAAAGGTTAGTTCACTGCCTTTCAGGTCTGACCAGATGTAAGAAAACAAATGTTCTTAACTCAGTCTGCTGAAGAGTATTTTGCTCTATTTAAGTGAAGTTTAGGGAATTTAAAGCTCACCATTTGAAAGAACTTCTGCATAGGTATAAGACAGCAACTCTTCTAATTCTTCGTTCTGTGGTTCACCTAAGGAAAAAAAATCCTTCAATTAACATTTCCTTAGAAACATCCTTAAATGGATATCTCCCCAGCCACTTTCCTCCTGCCTCTTTCCCAAATGGTCTAATTCTTTTCTTCGTAAGTATTCTGATAATCATTTGTGGGATGAAAAAATACTTTAGAAAAAACTTATTCTAGGACAGCTAACTAACTGCAAGACAATGCCTATATATGATAAAGGCAAGTTAATTTTATTTGAAAGTGTTAAGAAGAAATACATGTTTTCCCAGGGTGCTAAAGCTACATTAGAGATTAAAATATTAAAACGTGATATTCAAAGATTGGCAGTAGGCATTTATGAGATGTTATTTAGTAATTTATTAGCTATTGTATGGAATATACTTTGTTTTTACCATTAACTGTATGTCTTCTGGCCCCAAGTTCTACTCTAGGATTAGAAAAGGAGATGTTATCCCAAGAGAACCTTTTATATCTTTTGTGGACCAATCCATTTACTTTCAACATGGACCCCATATTTCTCTTTCTTTTCTTGTCTGATAGAGCTGTATTTCAGTTATTTGAGCTGTGCTCCCTTAACATGTGCCTTTACAGATTGTTGTTACTACTGCAGCATTGTATTTCTATTCTATTCTAATTACTGCAGCATGGTGTTTCCTGACTATTTTATAAGTACTATGCAGAGAATATCATGAACACTATATCCATGTTATCTACTTGCAAGAACAACATGGTAAAGGATTTAAGAATAACTTGAATCAATTTGACTGAAAAAAATCATTAAGTTTTGTGCTAGAAGTTATTAATGACTGCTATAAGGTAACTTGATGCTGACTGGAAAAATCACCAAGGTGGCTGTGCCCCTTCCAGCTAAAGGGAAGGAGCAATTCCTATATTTTCTTATATACAGCACATACCTTTCCCCCTAAAATCAGCCCCCCCAAAATTGGGTGTGTGTATTAATGGGGAAGCAGATTTTCTGCCTGGAATACAAGCACCCTGCTTTGCTTCCTGCTCTACACTGCAGCAGCTTCCACTAAACAAGCTTACTTTTCTTATGCCATTTTGCTGGGGGGTAGCTGCTTCTGGTCTCTCTCCTCCTATTTCCCAGCCCTGGAATCTCTTTAGGTCTTTTCAAAATAAATCCACTCACAGAGACCAGCCTTCAGCAGCAGATAGAGTTACAACTTTAATTAGGAAAGAATGAGAGGGTGAGTCAGCTGAAAACAAGACATACAGACATACATCTGGAAAAAAAATGTCTTCATTCTGCCTTTCAAACATGAGGTGTGTATTATATTTTGGGGTGTGTTGAAAGAAAATATGCTAAGTTCTTTTCATTTACTGGGATAGGTGGAAAAAACCAGAAGCCACCACCCCAGGATATTGGCTATGTGGTAAGACCTAAGCGAAAAACCTTACCTAGGTAGATTAAAAGAGTTTCCATGATTGCAAAAACCAGGTGAGTTAGTGTGTCTATGTCTAGTACACAAAGTCAAGTAGAAGCAGAGAGAAACAGAAGAACATAAGCCTGAGTAGAAGGAGCAAGACAGTTTCTTGGCCATGGAAATTATTAGAGAAGCTTGAGGATAAACAAGTAAATGGCTCATTTCTTTGTTCATTTATACCATGTTAGGGGGGAACAGAATTCACAAGTGTCCATCTTGGAATCCCTGGATTTGAGCTGCAGAAGTGCCAAGCTCTTGCAGCAGCACAAAGTCAAGGTAGCTGTGCTTGATTATTTTAAATGTTGTATAGTGCTATTTACAGAGGAAAGTCAAACTCTAGACATCTCAAATGAACATAAAAATTAACAGAAACTTTTGACACTAATATTGCTTTGCTTAAGCTGCCTATCTGTAAAATGGTGATAATTCTACTCTCTCACCACATGGGGGGTGAGAATAAATTAACTAGTATTTGGTGGAAAAACCAGATATTCTTGTGATGAGCTCTATACAAAAGCCCATCAGGAAATTAATAATTCTGCCTGCAGAACAGGGCTTGAATACTGTGCAGTACATAAGACATGGGAAGATACATGGAACAATAACTATGCAACAAAATATTGAATAGCTCCTCTTTAAGTTATATTCATCCCAGGCACTGAATGAGGCCATGGTTCTGTGGAAAAAATAGTATGTGATCATGTAATTAAAGGCTATATCATAATACACATGCACAAAGGGGCCTAATTAAGGTCTCACAGGCAACCATAACTAGCATTTCCTGACTTTCAAGTCTCTGTATTGGTAACCTTAATAATCTTGTTTTGTGTATAAAAATCACATTAAAGTCTAGCCAAATTCTGATTTCATTTGCACCAGAGTAATCTTAGAATGAACCTGCTAAAAACAAAAATTATCCCTATATATAAACTATTTTAACATTCTACATGTTCACTTCCTTTCATATTAACTTAAATATCAGTTCTTCCATGCAATCAAACACAATGACATTTACTTTTCCTTATCGTCTTAAGATGATAAAATAAGGTTAATAGAAAATCTAGCACAAATGAATTGTAAATGACATTTAAGTTATAGTCATAACAGTCTGCCAAAAAGTATGTTAATGTATTTCAAAAAACTTTTTCTTTTGAGTTACACCTCATAATAACGGTTGGAAAAACTTTATGAAAATGCTTGATGCGTAAGACAGACGCATGTCAGGCATGTCTTTCATGGAGCATTTGTAAAGCTGATGACCCACACAACCATTTTGTGGGTTATCTATATTAGATAACCTCCAAAAATGCCTGGTGTAATCATCACTTATTTATTAGAATTAAAAACAACCTCAGAATTGCAACTAAATGCTGACTGCTATGCTTTACATTGTTTTTCCAAATGTAAACAAAACACAAACTTGGAAGGTGTTCACATATGCACTTTAAAGAAGATCATAATAAAACAATTCATTAAAAAAGGAATGCCATAAAAACAAAGTAAATTAAAATGAAGAATGTTTAACTTTTTATTCTTTTAAGTTGTATCACCAGTAAGACTTTATACATTTGTTCTAAATTAAAAGCAATCATTCTGAGATGTCAGTGGCCAGTTATAAGTAGTTTTAATGCAATTTATGTCTGAAGCAAGAGAAAAAACACTGCATATGCTATCTAGACTTCAATAACCATGGGCACAGGTACAAGTGGTTAGATGGATCAAAATACAAACTGCCAAGAAATCTGATTATGTCATCATGAATAAGACTTCTCAGACTTTTGCAGGATTAAGAAAAAAGGAACAGAGAAGTTAAGAATAATTAATAGTGGACCAACAATCCTCATTTATTGGCTATAGAGATTTTCAACTTCTATGGCTCCAGCTTAGGTTCTTGTTCTGGTTTCAAGTGGTCATATGTTCCACATAAAACAAGTCAATTCTAGCAACTGAGTTCCTGTAGTGTGTATAGACTAAATGAGGGGCATGTGAGCACAACACTTTAAAGCAGGTTAAATGCTTTTGCACTGCTTAAATGGTACCGATGTTTGCATACGTTGTCAGCATACTGAGCATTAATTCCAGCCACTCTTGCACATTCAGCGGCATAATGCACCTTAAATGATTTTGGGGCACAGCAAACTAAAACACCTCCAAGGAGTTTTAGTTTGCTTCCCTATAGCCGTGGAGCAAAGCACTGGGCTCCATGTGGATCAGGGACTGTGCAGGCAGCCCAGCAGCAGCCCGAGTAGGCAGGCTCCAACGAAGAAGAAAAAAAAAAAATGGCAAGCCTGATCTTTTTTTTTTGTTCTGTCCCCCTGGAGTCTGCCTGCCTGCATGAGCTGTGTGGGGACCCAGTGGGTGGGTGCTACTTGTGGGGGGGGCTGCCGCTGCCATGGAGGGAAGCATCAGCCCCACCTCACCGCCCCTGGCAGCCCAGGGACCGCTCTGCCCACTGACAGCTCCCCCTCCCCCTGCCAATGGAGAGGCAAGTAAGGCATGGGTGTACACGACACAGGGGTTTACTTCACTTTTTAAAAACCCACTGCTTCTATGTAGGGCCTCTATTTCATCTACATGCACCCTTAATGAACAACAGTTCTCATCACAAAACATGTGCTGTCATTACAATGGCACCACTGCAATTAATGAATAGAGAAACTGAAAAATAATTCATCTTATAAAACGCTAAACCAGAAACTGGGTTGGAGTGTTGCTGTAGCTGTGGCGGTCCAGGAAACGTCCAAGAGGCACAGATTTTTTGTGATATTTTTAACTGGACCAACTGCATAGTTGAGAGAGCTGCTGGTCAAGCCTTTAGACATAAGTTCCCTTTTTCATGTCAATCTGAAGGGCACAGTATGGAAAGTCTAGTCCAGCAGATCTCCCAACCATAGAGTTGATCCAATAAAACACA